TCCGGCGTTCCGGGAACGCTGGACCCCCTTCGCGTTTCGGGGGATCGAACCGGCGCGTCTCACCTTGTTCCCCCCCCCTCTCCCCACCCCCGCAGTGCAGAGGGGGTCCTCTGGGAACGCCGGACCGCCTTCGCGTTTCGGGGGAGCGAGGGGTGCGCAGGCTTGGTGTTGTGGCCATCGAGGGGATGGGACGGACCCCCTTCATCCCTCACAGCACACAAAGGGGGTACGGCATTCCGGGAAAGCCGGACCCCCTTCGTGCTATGCCCATCGTCGGATTGGATCTTGGACCCCCATCCTCCCCCGCGGCACAAAGGGGGTCCGGCGTTCCCGTCCTCACCCGCCGGACAAAGGGGGTCCGGCATTCCGGGAACGCCGGACCCCCTTTGTGCTGTGGCCATCAAGGGGAGGGGACGGACCCACTTCTTCCCCCGCTCCTCACAGGGGGTCCGGCGTTCCCTGAACGCCGGACCCCCTTGGTGCTGTTGTCAGCGACGGGGAGGGAGGGGCCCCCTTACTCTCTCGCAGCACCGACATGGGTCCGGCGTTCCGGGAACGCCGGACCCCGCTCGGTGCTGCTAGAGGTACGGGAAGGGAAGGACATGAAACGCCGTGGGGTTTCGTCGACGAGGCGGGCGAGGGAGGGGTTCGGCCGACCACCATGCCGACAGGCACGCTGGTGGGGTCTGCTATTTTGGGGACGCCGGACCCGCACACACAACGGTCATGGGGTACGGCATTCTAGGAATGCCAAACCCGCTGTGTGGGGCGGTAGCGAAAGTCCCGTGCCACGACGGATGCTTCTTCATGTCATTTAGTGTTGTTTTCTTGTTGTCTTTTTCTGTGCGACCCTTCAGGAAAAACAGCGTCTGGCTCCGCCCCCGAAAAACGGTACGGTAGGTCTAAGCTCTACCATGACAAACCATGGGCTCTTGATTGGGTAGGTGGCCTTCATATGCCGGGTTGCGGAGCCGTTGTCTTTTTTAGCGATGACAATGACCTGAGTTGGTACCGCTGCGGAGGGGTGGAGAAATTGGAAGCGGGGAGGTTTACCTACGACGGCAGGAAGTTCAGGATCTTCTTCCTTACGTCTTTCTATGACAGAGAGGGGAAAAATTGGGTCAAGGAAGATAAGAAGGTGTCTCTTGACCATCGGCTCTTCCAAGGATACGGGGTCAAGGCTTTGTCGATGAAAACGTTTGACGCGCGCGGAAACGGAACGGAGTTCCAAATGCTGGATCCGGAAAAGTTTCTTTCCAAAACCAATGGCTACCGCGTGACTGGTTCCCTGCCTGTCGTCGACAGCGCTTTTATGCTCAGCAGACCTTTGGTCCAATTCAATAGCCCGGCGGACCAACTCGCAGCTTTCGTTATGCGATACACGGAAGAGTTCGCGAGGCTGCCTGCTGCCCAGCAAGTTGACCGTGTTTTCGTGCCGATTGACGCCCCGTCTTAGTCGGCTGCGGGGCCCAAACGGCGCCAAGATCAGCCGGCCAGAGCGGGTGGAAAGAGGAAGCAATTGCCGACTGCCCCGTTTTCGTCAGCTGCGGTTGTCCAGGCTCTGCCCGCTCCGGTTCCGCCCTCGGATCGGCAAGGTCGCGATGCGGCCGAGCAGTCCAGCGAGGCCACAGACTACGACGACGGAGCTGTGCGCTATCGGGCTGGTCCCCAGCATCGTTCACGGGGAGGTGCAGGTACCTTCGATGACGAGGAATGCGAGGGCCAAGATGGAAAGGGCGGTGGTTGGGATGGGGAGGGCGGTGGTGAGGAGGGGGAGGGCGATGGTGAGGAGGAGGAGGGTGGTGGTGAGGCAGACGACGGTAACGAAGGAGATGCTGAAGGTGAGGACGATGGCATGGACGAGGAGAGAGACGATGTTGGTGAGGAAGTCGAAGACAATCGCTCCTCCCAATTTCACCGTCGCCACCACAACAAATCGCAGGGGCGCCGTGAGGACGACGCCTGCCGCGTCGGTGACGCGGTCGATGCTGGTGGCCAGCCTGCAGCCTCCCGCGGAATGTCGCAATCCTATGACCAGACGAAGGATGGGAGAGACGAACCTGACTCACGGGGAAAGCGAAAGAGGGGAGAGGCGTCGACCTCTCCTGCGAGTCGAACAAAACAGGCGCGGGCCGACGCCGTCAATGAAGCTCGCGGAGCGTTGACGGCATCACAGGAAGCACGGGCTCCTCAGAAAACTGGTGGGGGGGGGCGAAGTGGCAGCTGTGGGGGCGGTCGCGGCGGCGGTAGGAAAGGCTCGCAAAGGTCCAGGGCACCTGAGCTGCGGGTCCCTCGGCGACTTGGAGGAGTGGAGGAGGCGAGGCAAGGTGCGGGCTTGGGGCCTACAAAAGTGATGTACAAGAAGGCTCCGTTTCACTTCAAGGTCTTTATATACACCACGATCGATAAGCTTGATATGCTTCGAGCGGAGGTGAAACGGATCGCCTCCAGTGCACGCCATCTTGTGTGGGACAAACTCAGCAGGCAGACCACATTGCTTCCTGTATGCATGCGGTCAAAGGAGGTTATGGTGGCGCCCGTCGACATCGTCGCAGCCACACAAAAAATGGCATGCAAGGCCGCCATCGTGGATATCTCGGCCGCGAATTTCAGCAGTGCATGGACCTCGCAAGACTTCAATGCACTGTACGCAATGATGGCGAAGTGTTGTGGTCCAAATTGGGTCCTCTTCTTCTTTGCACCGTAGAATGTGCAAAGCGATGTCTTGCGTCAATTTTACCGTTGGGAGGACATCGAGCTCATCCCCGGGTCATGGAAACTCGTGGACAGGCCGCCGAGCGACGTCGCAAGGTACGGCAACATCGCTACGAGCAGTCGGGACCTGATGGCGATCGTGCTGCACGCTGAAGGAGGGGATCTGAAAAAAGTAACTGTCGCACCCCGACTTCACAACGATCTCACCGAAGTGCATGTTGTGGAGGAAAAGTTCGGGAAATGTCTCGGAAAACACGGTGGCGTCGAGGGCGACGAAAGTGCCGCATATTCAATTTGGGAGCGAGAACCTAACAAGTTGCGGAAGTTGTGCGGTTCATTCGTAGGAGAGGCAGAAGGTGTGCTTTTGCTGGGTAGGGCGCACGCGGGTCTTGTATGAAAGTTATTGCTTGCAGGTAATAATGTCATTGTCGATGACGAGTCGGCCAAGGACATTGCATACTTGACAAAGTACGTTGACATACTTGTTAAGGATGAGAAATTCTAGTGCCGCCTCGAGAAGCCGCGTGCCACACATCGCACGAACAGGGATATGTACCACAAGTTAGGAGGACCGAAAAGACTGAAGGTGTGGGAATACCTATTTCGCGATGTGCCGGATGGACGCCTTGATGAGGGATACATATATAGGAAAGCCAAGGTGACCGAGGCCCTCAAACATTATCACGGTGCTCTAACTGGCACCTTCGAGACATTCGTTGCTCGATGCGAGATCTTGAGGTTTGATCTTCACAAAGATAAACTGACGTTTAAGGACTATGCAGACCTCGCTAAATAGGGTGATGGCCTTAGCCCCGTTGACAGCGAGGAAGACTCGTCGGACTCCGACCTCGAGATCGAAAAGGACACCAATGCAACTGGGTGGTGCGGGAAGTCCGTTGCCATGGAGCACAACGTCAAGGGATATGGACCGGGTCAATCAGAGGGATGCTCGAACCTGCCACCCACGAACAGTGTGGCCTCGGGTGTGGACCGGGTTGTATATACGCCTGTGGAAGATGACGAAGACGATGACCTTGATATTCCTGATCGGCCAACGAAGTTGGCGCCAGGCGATCCGATTCCTCCCAGATTTTGTGCGGATGCAAACAATGTGTATTTCTTGGATGACAAATACACATGCACTAGTGAGGACAAGTGGGGCCATGATATCATTTGGCATGACGGCATTTTCGAGTCATGTATCCAAGGCGTGGAGTGGAAAATGGCGGTGAAGTATGTCTTGAAGGGTTGGAGACCGTTTCCCCGCATGGGAAAGGACAACTGGTTGAAGACGACGGAGCAATCAATACTATACTGTTGTCGGAAAGAGAACCCCGGGGAGAGTGAAACATCCATCGCGGCAAAGGCGAAACGATTGTTCGACGCCTAGGGAGCCACTCGACAGTTATAGTACTCACACAAGTTTTACGAGTTGCAGTCGAGCCCCTCGTATGGCAAGATTGACTGGAAGGTTGAGCGCGCCGCTGCGCTCGAGAGCATGGACGTGGACTCCCGAGAAGATGCCGCCCCTGTGCCCGAGGCGGCCACAGGGAACACGATGGGTGAACAAAGGGAAGATGGCGGGACGACGTTCGGCGTGAAGCTTTCGTTGCCAGAGGCGGGGAACACGCCCGCAGGCAAAAACACCATCGGAGCCATCTCTGTCGCAACGGGGGATACATCACAAGGTGAAAAAGTGTCACTCGACAAGCCGGCAGATGGGGGGGCCACATACGGGAGTCTTCTCGCGACAAGTGTGGCGCTGGCAGGCACATCGGAGATGGTGTCAGAGTCCACTACTGGGATGGGCGTCACGGGGATGTTGTTGCATCCGCCCACATGCACTAGCAAAGGTGACGCACACTGTACAACAACACCACAGGGAGGGGTCACAGGGGAGGACGAGAATGGGGGAAATGCAGGGGGGTCTCCACGTTCTCGCAATATTGAGGACATGACGACGGACGATGAGGATGGGGTAGAAGGCGGAAAGGGCGTGAGCGATCCCACGCGTGCAGAAAATGAGGGGTGAGACAGGGAATGAACTTGAGGGGAATCCTCTTCGGGGGAAAATTTAATGTTTTCGAATGTGTGCTCATTTTTTTGAAATCTGGGTTTGTGGGCGGAATTTGTTCCTGTGTACAATCGAACTGCAGACTCATTAGTGTTCAATTTCCGGGATTTGGCCTTTTAATTGTTGACAAGAAAATTGTAGGGTGAATAATAGTGTGTCGTAGTATGCGTGTGTGTCTCTCTATATTCGTCAATATGCTGCGTTGTGTATATGCATGTATGCCGTTGGGGTACGGTGATGAAAGGGGGCAGGAGTCAGGATTGATTGGTCCAGAAGTATTGTCATTCATCTAATTGTAAGTTTAGCGAAACATTGATGACGTATCTTGAATACATCATTTCCGTTTAGCATGTTATGCTAAGGCACTTGCCCATGTACAAGTATCTCAAATGGTCGCCCTCCCTGTTTTTTACACCGCCTGCCCACCCGTTTCTTACTTTCCTGTAAGGGCGACCATTTTTTACACCCCTGTCCGCCTCGGTCACCGTTGTTTACACCGCCGTCGATGTCGTATTCGTCGTGTTTGTCATGTGCAGTGCAAATTACAACAACAGATACAAGAAAGTGCAAAAGAGGGTGGACAATGCGCCTTGCAACATCGTCTTTATCAGAGAAGGAGATGAAAGCACTCTCACATGTACGTCGGGAGTACGGGAAAAGGTTCCCAATAGCGAGCACACACAATCATCGGACGAACGAAGTACTGAAGCTAACTCGAGACAAATTTATTTTACTAGTCGACGAGCGGAACTGGTTAAATGACAACGTCATCAACTTCTACCTGAACCTCATCGCACTAGACAACTGGTGTAGAATCACACACGTAGAATGAGACGCCAAGAACGAAACCGTGATTAGAATCGGAAAGGGTCGCATTCCTTGAATATCAGTGTTGAGCTCGTTTTTCTTCGCCAGACTTTTCGACAGCGAAATGAGATATCAAGAGCGAGAGGTGCAGCACAGGTCGAATGACATTATAATAAGTGACATGGACTTGATAATTGCCCCTTTCCATATCGCACACACGAACCACAAGACCCTCGTTGTGGCTGACTTCAGGAGGAGGAAATTTGAATTTTACGACTCCCTCAGCCCCGACAAAGAACTGGCAGCCAAAGTGACCGGCGAATTTGCAAAGTTTTTGTTTAAAAGATTGATTCAGCAAGGCAAAGAGGTGGACACGAAACCGTTTAATCACATACGGACCATAGAGGGCGTCCCGAAACAACATGACACTAGCTCGTGTCGGGTCTTCATGCTCGCATACGCATCGCTATTGGCAAGGGGTCACCTTCCGCCTTTCTCTTTCACCGCTGATGACATACCTGCAATACGTCGTCGAATGGCTTTGGACACAGTGGCTCGCGAGTAGTATGAACCTGCTGCTGGATATTGTGATTACATGCGAATGGATGTGGGTAACATTAAATTGTTTGTCATGGAAACAATGTATAGAAGATGACAACCATTGCTCCAAGTTCCTGCCCCTTACCCCTTGTCTTTTACCCCTTACCCCTTATCCCTTACCCCCAAACCCCTTACCCCCAAACCCCTTACCCCTTACCCCTTACCCCTTACCCTTGCATGTATACCCATACCCCAAATTCAAATGCATTTTTTACCCTAAATCACCAAGGAAATGACAATTTAAATTTCGTTCAAAAAATATAAAATGTCTGTTTTGACGAAATCGCTGTTAATAAGCCGATGTGAACTTCCGTGACATGCTAGTCAAGTGTTTGTCTTCGCGCTCACTAGGAGTACATTGTGACTGATGAGTCACGACAAGCCCCCGTGACACGCTGGGGTAATCACCTTTCGTGACTCTTTAAGTATTCGCCAGAAGTGACTCGTCTCTGTTTTCATCTCGTATGCCTCTCCTGAGTGACAGGCCTTAAAGCGCTTCCGGCTCGCTCGCCGAGCGGTTACGAGTGTGAGAGAGAGCAGTCAACGTGTGGTCCCCCATGTCAATTGAGTCGCGAGGAGTCTGTATGACAAGAAAAAACCATCTCAAGTGGCTACATACGAGCGGATATCAACTAAGCTTGCATCGCTAGCGTCTTTAGTCTCCGCATGTGCTGTGCATTTTGTTTTTGAAGGGAAGGTAACCAAGATTAGGAGGGGACATGTGCGCATAGACGRTTCCGAGGGAAATGTGCAACGCAGGAGCGGTGCATGTTCGAGAGAGAGATACGTGGACGACAGGCGGAAGCTCCAGGAGAAGAGAGGGAAGTCTACGAGAGGAGCCGTGCAGATGAGTGTGCTCTGTCTTGCTAGATACAATTGACTTCAACTGTTGTCTTCGTGATTGCCCAGGGCACCTTGTGGCTGATAAACCRCAGCGCSACTTCTTGTGCAGTCACGAGGGTGACTAGTCTCAGTATCTCTTTGCACGTTCTCCAGGGTGATAAGCAGTTGGGTGAAGATCGAGAAAGAGCGAGCATCGGAGCGTGATTAGACGAGCGCTGAAGAAGTGAAGATTAGGGAGGACGCGCTGCTCTCTCGTTGTTGCCGTTGTCGCCCTACCGCTGGATCTCKCGYARCTTGCTAAGGATGAAATTCTCAGTTCTCGACATTGGATCAGCCAATGATGGCCAGGAAAGAGAGGCATTCTCCACCGTGCTTTAGATAGGCGAGCGGAAGCAGACGCTTGTCTTAGAATTGTTGTTGGCGTCAGTGATAACTAAGTGTGTTTGGTATGTCAGATCGAGTTACAAGACAGGAGGAACAGATGAAGGACGCAGACAGCTACTACGAAAATGATTCGTGCGCGCGAAGATAATCTGCTATAGTTTGTGAAGGTCTAGTGTGCCTTCTCTGTTGGAGTCATCTACTGTCCGCCTGTGCTCAGACACTTACCAGTACATTAGTCAGCTAGTGTGCCTTCTCTGTTGGAGTCATCTACTGTCCACCTGTGCTCAGACACTTACCTGTACATTAGTCAGCCTCTTGTTCCTCTTGTTGATAGTGGGGAGGCTAAAGCGCAAGGATCCTTCTTGGTTGTGTGCAAACCCGGGTTTTAGCTTGGTGCTACAGGAGTGTGTGATTAGGGAGGTATTAATGTGGTGGTTTTACTTCAGCCCGTAGTGAGTAGCGAGAAGGTCGCTCTCAACTGACAGGCGGGGGCTGATTATCGGATACTAAACAAGTGTTTGTGGAGACGTAAAGTTGTCGGAAGGAAGGCGTAGCGTAAAGTCTCATGGTTCAAGGCTTGAGAATCTTGGTCGAGAGACATCAACGACAGTTCCTAGTGGCATGTGGTTGGAACCAGGCAGATAAGAGTTCACCCTTTCTTTTTGATCCGCCGTCTCTTGCTTGTTTTCCCTTTGTACTGACTTGGTACAAGAGCTGCCCGATCTTGAGCTTCCCCTTCTGCAGACTTTAATAAAAAATTGCTTAACCTTTAATTACTTCTTTTTTTTTTTTTTTCGAGTCCACACATTACCTGATTGAGGCCGACGAACTTAATGATAAGCGTAAGACGCTCTGCACGTATCCACCAAAGGCTTTGGCCTACTAACTAAGGAAGTCGTAGCAGGTCGAGGTCCCGATCTGGGGAAAAAGGGTGACCCCACGGTGAGAAAGAAGTACTAAAATGTTGCTTTCTAGTTTGCAAGTGCCTTCTCATGGGCAGGAAAAGATCTTTTCTGAGGGGAATTGCATACCTKCTCGTCAAGTTTTTACTCGATGGGGATTGATTCTTACGCTTGCTTACACCAGGTCTGCATGAGTGGAAGGTTTTATTTGAGGAAGTTCACCGAGAGTCGCTGAACACGCCCAAAATACAGAATATCTAGTCCCTCTTCTTTTATTTATGAAGACGAAGAAAAAGGTTTGACGCGTCAGTCACAGTTTGACTACTAGTCTCARCCATAGCCATAGTCGGGGTGGGTCACTGTTGTCCAAAAGTGGTGATAAGGATCTGTAGCAGTCCAAAAAGGGTGTATATTCTCTGTTGTACTTGATGTATCGTGCAAAGCTCAGAGCAGCGAGCACATCCCCCGCCTCTTATATTTGATGGGCACAGATCAAGCATGAGCATGGGACCTCACAAATGATGCTCTTATAATTGATTTACTTGATCATTGCTCATCAATCTAGTTGTTTGAAGCTAGATCATCCGGAAAGAGAATTAACCTGAGACCCTTATTGGACGATTACGACACCCTGAGTGCCTCGAAAACTGAGCCTATGTATCTTATGAGGCTTGGGAGTGTTGTGTCTTGCAATACACCTTGCAAGATGCTGGTGAAGGAAGTACTCAATTTGATCCAGCWRAATCCAAACATTCAATCATTAGAATTCACAGGTCGAAGTTACCCTAAGTGAAGGCTATSTGCATCCCCGCTCACGRAAAGGGGGAAAYGGGAGCCGTTCAAAAGGCACCTRTGTGTGACACCATGGAAATGAACAGACCAGATCTGACGTYGATTTGAASCAAAACCAGTACCGAGGAGAAGGTTGAAAGTCTGGAAAGGAGAGTTATCACTCAAGTGACAGTTATCAGAGTCATCRTTTAGRTGACAGTWATCAGAGTTATCCTTCAAGTGATAGWAATCAGAGTTATYATTCAAGTGAYAGTAATCGGAACKACCWTTCAGACGACAACAATCARATTATCAACCGAATCAGAATCAGCACTAAGAAACAGSTCTCAAAAGGCTCTTAAGCAGCAATCGGACARCCTATAGTTGACAATCACTGACTACTCTATCCAACCCTTGACACCTGTAGAGCAGGCCAYCGCTAGGTCTTACACCARACTGCCTTCGAAGGAGTGAACGCCAGCGTTCTAATCAAGAACATCATTGTTGGYTGTCTAACCAATTCTTGGTCCGAGCCTTGAGAAAAAARAGGGCGTTATGAAAGAAAGTGAGATCTTGGTGATAAAGCACCGAGTGAACAGGGACAAGAGGGAAGGATGRGAGGAAAATGCATRCAAAGATATGGAGATATTCAGACTAGTACAGAGGGAATTCGCAGT